TAAAAGCCCTAAATAACTAACTTCTCTGCAATAAGACTAAAAGAAGTTTATAAATCATAAAATAAGACTATTATGCACCTTCTCTAGTTTAAATACACCATACACTCCTTGCCCATAGCATATTTTCAGGCTAAAACCAGTTATTTCCTCTGCCCACCTATCTCATGGTTCAACTTTAACACATAAACATACTAAAAAAATAGGTGTTAGCATCATATAATAAGACAATACAAACATCATTATGCATAACAAACATTCCCTTTGTGCATTTACAGTATCTGGAAATTTAAGGTATAACAAAATAATCTTTCTGAGTTGTCTAATGGTTTTCTGTTACTACTATACCTTCTTAAAATACTGATTAAGCCTTTTAAGTGTTACAGTTATATAATTCCAATGGTTTGTGAGTAAAGTTATTACTTGTTTAAAATGAGTGTTGCAAAGCAATGTGGTCTTGATGTATTGGCTTAATATAAAGTGCAAATGATACCAACAATAAAAAGCTCTAGTAACATAATGTGAATTATGCTAATCTTTGTATTTTCTTTTATCCACATGTATATTTGCATGTTTATCTATAATGCGATAAACAACATTACCTAAACCTACATTTTCTTTCTTTATTCTTTAACTAAGATAATTTTTTTCCTTATTTTCAGTTAATTCATTTAATATTGCAATTCAAACAAATTCAACTCAGCAATGCCATGCCCTCTAGCTAATGATGTGATGAACCAGCCATGTATTTCACTGCCTGACCCTAATGTCTTATCCCTTACTTTACATCAATAAATAAACATTAAACAATATTATTAAACAAGATATTTTTTATCTTTTTTTAACTTTTTAAATCAGTTATAATCCACTGGTTGAGATCTGGTGCTTGTTCATAAGAAAATTTTGGTTAAGAGAACACTAAATGCACAAATTATTTTATAATCTTAAGTACAAAATCATGTTCCACTTCTGATTTCTCAATGCAGTATCATAATATACCCATATCTTGACTAGTACTAGATGCTTCTGTATATAAGATTCAGAAACTATAATCTCTGAATGACTGAATAAATCTTTACCTGCCTTCTTTTGGAATGTCAAATTTTTCTTTCACAACCTGTAGTACATTACATTTCTGTGACATAAATCATGAACTCCCTTCTTTACATATTATTCAGTTTAGTACCACACAACCTCCTGTATACAGAGTACAAAAAATGTCTGTAAAAGACTAACTGTATGTATTTCAATCACAGTCTAAAGTGCAAAATATAAGCTCTCTTCACCATGACATATGCATAATAATTCCAGCAAGCAGTTTGTATGCATTCAATACAAACAGTGTCATTGAATCTGCAACCCTCCTGTTACAGAAAATGTCCATTTGGAAAAACTAACACAGAAGAGAAATCTCTGAAGCTACATGCCATTCATTTACACAGCACATGAAAAGAGTCCATTGCAGAATAATCCATAAATTATTAGTTTTATTATATTTTCTGATCTAATTACTAGCATTATACAATTCACTCTTATAAAATAGCCTCTTGTAAAAACACTACATCACTTTTGATCTCCTTTACACAGAAAAATGATTCAGTTAAAACTAAACATCTACCAAGGCTTTTGTCTATTTTCATTTCTGGTTTATTCTAGGTGCCTTGCAAAGTTACCGCAGAATACAAAAAAGTGAAGGCGGAAATATTCCCAAATAAGTTACCAAATAAATCATGAAAACTATCACCTACATATAAAAAATGTCTGTATACATACCTTGTAGCTATATGTAAATACACCTCAAAACAGACCACAAGCATAACTGGGCATAATGGCACCTAGGGTAAAAAGGGAAAATGTGGATTGTTTTCAAAATATCAAAATATTCCTTGGCTCCAATAACATTGTCAGTGTGTGTAATATCTATATCTATATCTATATCTATATCTGTGTGTGTGTGTGTGTGTGTGTGTGTGTGTGTGTGTGTGTGTGTGTGTGTGTGTGTGTGTGTGTGTGTGTGTGTGTGTGTGTGTGTGTGTGTATGTGTGTGTGTATGTGTGTGTGTGTGTGTGTGTGTTGTGTGTATGTGTGTGTGTGTGTGTGTGTGTATGTGTGTGTGTGTGTGTGTGGTGTGTGTGTGTGTGTGTGTGTGTGTGTGTGTGTGTGTGTGTGTGTGTGTGTGTGTGTGTGTGTGTATGTGTGTGTGTGTGTATGTGTGTGTGTGTCTGTGTATGTGTGTGTGTGTGTGTGTATGTGT